TGCCTGATGTAGCCTTCGTGTTACTTGCCCAGCTTGCTTCAGTGTCTGTTGCGGCTTGCTTCAGCGTTTGCTGCGACTGTTGGAACGCGAGGTGCCCATCATCGAAATCGACGAAGGAACTGTCGGTTGCTTCCTAAATAGAAGTTGCGTCTAGTGTTTGTTGGCTTACTGTATACCGTAGTTCGTATCCTTCCCTCGGAAGTTCTCGTAACTTGCATATCCCAGAAGGGCAATTACCTATTGCTTTTTTTCCCTCGTAAATTGGATTAAGTGGAATATTGAGTTCAGTAAATTCTTAAACTCCTAAACGTCGTTCCTTTTTATTACGACAAATGTGCCATTCACGAATCTGACCCCGAATTTCGGACAGTGCGAACAGAGAACTAGTCGCTCGAGCCTCTGCAGGACCACTTCAGAAATTAACCCAGAAAAGAAAAGCTCATCTGTGCTTCTGATATTGCTCGTAAATCCGACCTTCGAAGGGGAAGAAGGTCTGTTCGAACACTGTGAAATATGTTCCATATTTTTTACCATCGTTGTTAGACTAGTATATGTGAATAGAATAAGGCAAGACGCCCATGACAGCATATTTAGCTTCTATGAATTTTTAATAATAAGTAAGTGTAAAAAGCAATTGTTTAAAGAAAGTGTCCAGGTTTGATGAGAACAGTTTGCACATAAAAAGACTGGCAACAAGAAAGAGAAAGCAATGAATAATTAAGAAAGAAACATTGCTCTAACCAGCGAATAAAACACTGTTTTTAACTAAATGCTTAACCTGTTGTTGTCAACAGGTAGGATTTAAGAGCGGCATTGCAAACTAAGAACACCGTTGCGAAGACAAAGTTTTTGCGAAATATGTTTAAATATACGCCGCTGACATACCTCGGTACTTACAATCGCTTAGTATGTTTGGAAAACTCATAATTATATGAATTGAAATAGACTGCATAGCTATTAGACTTAAAATATATTGCAGGTCTTTCCGTCAACCCCGTATGACGTAGAAAGTAACCCTTCATTATCCCATAAGGAAGACGGAGAAGAAAACAAGGCGCTTTTATAGATCATGCTGTATTGGTGCTGAAGCTTCAAAAGCGTTTTCGTTTCCACCATCAGAATGTTGAGGAAGTTTTTCCTGCTTGCCGAGAATTGTTTTCTCTCGCTGCCTGGCTCGTATTTTAAGCACGCCTCACACACGGACCCTGACCTTCCTACTGCTCGTGGATTCGCTTAGGATCCTCCGCAGCGGAATACAGACGAACTCGTGTGACCACGGTCGCTATTGTAGTCGCTGTGAGGATTGTATGACCCTTGTATTCACTGGAGGGGGGAGGCGGATACGCTGTGGGTCCCAACACGGAGCCTGTTCGCTTATTTGGGTTCGTCGGTGGGTTGATGACTCAAGTCGGTTGTGCGAAAGAGGAAGGGCTCCCTCCTTCATCCACAGTAGTGACAATTTTTGACGAGGCCGCATATTGCTCGCTGGCGCCGTCAGCTTCGTCTGAGCTGACTGAAGTCATGTGCGAAGGGCTTGACAGGTCAGATTTAAGTAGATATTTCTATTGATTGTGCCTACCGAGGACCAATTTTTGAGCATCGATCTAGCCATCTTGTCGGTGGATCGGTCGATGACTTCGTCAATTATGCTGATGGCGAGGCCTGTTCAAATGGAGGTGAATAAGGACACCACTTCAAACGAAACCATTATTTTGCCTGAATCTATCTCTAGATGCCTCATATGCCTCAGAAACCCTTCATCCGACTTTCCTGTCTATTCAAGGTCCTGAGTGAAGAAGCGTAACTGCTAGTATATCCACTTTGATAACTTATGGAAAGTGTATTTGTCTACCAGCGAGTTTAGTTAATGTTACAAATATAAACATCATCTCGTATATGTTTCTGGATGAGGACATTGGTAAATATTAATAGGGAGTGCTAAAACTGTTGTACAGTTCGAAATTGTAAATCATAAACAACTGAATTCCTTCGCAAGTTGGTTATGTATTTCCCCCTATAATATGCTAAACATTGGGTAGCTGTGCGTTGCGACCGGGTGCGGAAACGCCTGGAGCCGCCATACGAAGGACCGTTCCGTGTTCTCTCCCGCAATGAGGAGACCTGCCGGATCCTTCGTGGAGACAAGGAGGACGTGATCAGCATCAATCGGATCAAGGTTGCTGTTACGAAAGAGCCGCCGGACTTGCCACCAGGACAAACTTGTGGTGATTCTCTATCCCATGCTTTTCCATCCCGTGCTCCTTCCCCTTCCACCCCGCAATCCCATCTTCCCGTATACTTCCCCTCCCTGCAGTTTACCAACACTCAACTACTACGTAATCCTCCACAACCGTAGCAACCACTCAATCCTCTCCAACTGTTCCTCCTGTTTACATCACTCGTTATAGACGCCATGTTAATTTCCCAGACCGTTTTGTTTAACACGTTTTTTAGGCATTCGCCCTGCCTTCGGCATCGATTTCCGCCGCCTTCGGTCTTGCAGGGAGGTACTGTAGGAATCCGTCGCCAAGAGCAACTGCGCTGACTCATGCTGCCTTTCGTGCGCTGAGCCTCGCTCGCTGCCAATTATTGTCCTTTTGTACGCCTCATGTCAACTCACCGCGTTTACGCTTGTAGGTATTCGATACCCCTGTGTCATTTGATTGGTGGCAGCCGACCGATCACACATTGCACAGCCTAAGCTTGTCACACCCCCAATTTTGCACCTGTACGCCTGGCTATCGTATGCGGCGCCACTGTAAAGCTTTTTGAGCAGCAAAAGTTGTTCGAATTCAATCAGTCTTCCCAGACGTGTTATTTTGTGATACTTTTGGTGTTGAGACAGCAACTAGCTCTCAAAATAGCTGCTGGTGGGGCCCTAGAGGGTTTTCCAAGGCACACGGGACGAGTGAGTTCGGTATCCTATTGGTGAGCTCAAATCTATCATTGGGACTACAAATAAATCTGTTTATTTTTATATTTTAAGCTCTCGCTTATTGTTGAATCACGGATAATTTTAGATTATGTGAACAAGAAAAAACACATAATTTTAAGATTAATTCCTGAAATCAACATTATCTGTGTACCTACACTTATTGCATTTTTGTTCCATTGCCAGTACTCCCCCTAGATCGCGAGGTTACGTTCCAGAACAGCATGTATGAGACAAAAATCCGCGAGATACTGCGCATAAGTTTCTGTAGTTATGTTTTTTATGTTTTAGGCAAAGATGTCGACCTGTTGGCTCAGTGGATAGGACGTTCGTCTCTAGCTCACTGGTCGCGTGTTCGAAACTCGAGTGTAGCGGCAGTTTCTGTGGCTATACTGGAGTTGGGTATGTGCAGCCGACGACGGCCATTAAGCCAGAAATACGCGTATTCTGCACTCCCTAACCTTTGCCGGTAATACATATTTTAGGCTATTATCAACCTTCACAATTCTGTGTAATAGTTCTCACAGAGTTATAGAGTAAAAACATTTTAACCTTCAATCGAACGTTGTATGAACGAGTAAAGGTACACCAATGGGGTCGCTGTTGTCCAGCCTGATTGCCTGGACAGTACTACAACTATCGACCACGCTGGTGGGACCGTTATGTTGATGACACGTTTGTTATCATTAGTCGAGACAAAATTGGGGATTTTACAGAGGGTGTGAACTTGATCTTCTCCGACATCCAGTTCACGATGGAGGAAGAAAAAGACTGCCAATTTCCATTCCTTGATGTGCTGGTGTGCATGAAAGACGGTGGGGAACTCAAAACAACAGGGTATAGGAAGGCCACAAATACCTCTCGCATCCTGAGTTAACTCAGCAACCATCCCGTCTCGCACAAGCGCAGCTGCATGCGAACACTATATCGCCACGAAGAAACCCACTGCAGCGAACCAGCCGACAAGAAGGCCGAGGTTCAGTATCAACGGAAACTTTTCACAATGAATGCTTACCCGGACGCATTCGTCGAACAATTCAGTGAAAGAGCCAAACGAAGAAGACCAACGGGACAGCCAGAGCTGAAAAGCTGGCGAGCAATACCTCTGGACCAAGAGAACGTTTCACCGTCTTCTATTCAGTTAAAACCCTTTCTATTCGCCTGGGTATTCGGTAATATGCATCAAAGTTTTGTATTCACCCTGGACTAAACGCGGGATTAAGTTTATTTTTACTGTCCTTTAAAATTATCCGCACGCAGACGCAATTAACAATTCACGTTTTTCATTGGTATTCACATTTATTGCAGACGTGCCACTGGTGTATGTGAAAATGGAATCGCGTATCGCCCTTCCCCAGCTAGTCATGGGAGGAAAGGAAGTTACTCAACGAGCGCCTATTACTTAAACGCCTTGTACTGAGTGAACATTTTATAAATTATATCTGGAAGCAAGTGAAAAAGACATAAGATGTTTCTCCTTTGACCAGTCAAAGAGGTGACCCGTAGGAGCCCCTTTCTCAGCGGATAAACGTCATGTGAACACATAATTCAGTCAACATATATGTCAATATCCCAAGCGAAATGCAAGCAAAATGGCAGAAATATCTGTGCAAAACCAGCACCTAACTTACGCCAGCCGTATTTGTTACACTTCTGGCCTGAAATCGTAATCTACTTTCAAAGAGATCAAGAGCAAATATGCGAGTATTCTATAAGCATAATTATATATGCCTTTCTGTATTTCAAAACACCAATTTACAAAAAAACAGGAATACTTGAAAGAATACACATATATTTAATAGCTGGGTTTGGTTTAATCTAAAGCCTTTTTTACTGTTTCGAATGACGATATGGACAAAACGGATTTATGTTTGATTTTAAAGCAAACGTGTTAAGAGTGGCCGAGACGTTTACGTAAAATAGATTGTTTTCCCTAATCCCCACTGTGGCAAAATAGGTTTGAGATGATAAGCGACAAGCGCAGACGCCGAGGTTTACAAGAATAAAGGTCTCGTACACGCGTGCTGCTCCCGCTAGCCTTTAAGCCATTGATTTGCGACAAGGCCGGAGAAACTAGTGTTGGCTCAATCGGCTTTTCTGATCTAACACTGAGTTGTCAGTTGTTTGAATCCGTCAACCGGTTATCGAAAGGATGGCACTCAGTGCTGTTTAAACCTTTCCTAAAGAAATGCCTGACATTAGAAAAACGATTACTTGAACATGGAGCCTTCCGTTAGATGTCTGAAGCGAGGCCCACTAGCATCGACCGTGTCCAGTGCATGTTCCAAACACTGATATGTCAAAATGACATCAGAAGACGCAACTCTCAATCCGCTCCCAGAAACATGCTACTCACATTTTAGAAGTAGTTTGACTTTACCAAATGTTATCATAGGGTAAATGGCTCGTATTATTTTTATGCGCCCACTGATGTCTTTGCTTATTTTAGATATCCATTTACTCTGCAGCATCATCAAAAGTTCCTTTCATTGCAATTCTAAGAACGCAAAAATTGAATATTAACAAAAGGAAATTAAATTTCTGGTTCAAATTGCGAACGATTTTGTACAGACGAGCACTTTTACAGTTTCCCAGGAAGAGGGAACAAAGCCCTCTTTCCTAGAAAATAATCTTTATTTTAGGTTTCCATTTGCCAGCTTCCAGATATTGTTTGAGATGTTGAGTCTATCTGCTGATCCAAAAAAATGTCAACTAACACCTATTCTCTTCTGGGCAAATGATTATTGATGTGTAAGATCCTGCAAACTACAAATGGTCACGAACGCTGTGTAATCAAAATCAAGGTCTTACTTCTTTTAGACTCAAGAAAGCATAAAGTGTGTAGATAAAATTTTCTAGTCCACAAATGCCTTCCTAAAATGCACTTACTTAAAACATTCTACTTGTTAAGATTTGGAAAAAAAGTATTAATCTCAATTAAAAAACGGAACATTTTTGGGTTATTTTTCTACTAAAAAATTACTTTCAAAAGCGAAATATTAACATTCCGTGCAAAATTGGGATAAATAAGCCGTTTCCGGAATTTCTCCAGTAAGTTGTTTCTTGTTATATAACGAACTCCCTTTAAGGGTTTGTGAGGAATATAAGTTCGTGGGCTTTTGAAATCAATCCACCATTTTCTCCCCCCCATTCGCATGCAAATTTTCTTTTATATGTATCGGTTGGCCCAGTACGTCCATTATAAGCTGTTTTTTATCCCTCATTTTTTATTTCAACTGCAACAATGAGGTCATCAGTGCACGACAGTAGTACTGATTTGAAAGAAGTTCACTTAAGTCTAAATTCTGCGACAAGTTCAGGGACGTTTTTCCAAGCTGTAAACGATTCTGGTTTGCATGCCTTATTTTACTTATGCTGAATGGAGGATGTTTTTTGCTGAAAATTTTGGAATTATATTTTCAAAATGACACGTATCCCTCTCCCTCATACTGCCTAGCGAATAAAACGATCAGCCCATCATAAAATGTTCAAACTGTTATTTGGACCAATGAATTTAAGTAAACTCTGTAGTCCGGGGGCCATACTTACCACACAAAACTAGCAATAGAAAAAACAGAAGTAGAAATGGGACGTGTAGGCCGAGGAAGTGGAGGAGAGTTAGACTTTTATGTGATATCGTGTACTTTAAACGACATATACTTGAAATAAACGAAGATCGCGTCTTCTCTTTCTTAACTGTGGATTTTCTTTCCACGAACTCATCTGTTCGTTTTTTTGACAAATTGTTTTTTGCAGTTAGGTTTTCTTAGGCAACCCCGAGTAACGCTTGCATTTAAAACAATATGTGGATGGAGGCGAAGGTTGTACTTTCCTAATTTATGAGAAGCTTCGTTTGAATTTAAAGATGAGCAAGGAATAGAGAAGATAGGCCGGATAAGAAAATGAACTGCAGGAAATGGCCTGTAATCAGGGGTACCTTTGCAAATCGGTTCTCATGTTGCTGGAGTCTGCATGCAAAATAAACATCTCCGTTAATAACTGTTTAAGTTCCATTTTGTGTACAAAATCTACTTTTTCGCCAAGTGCTGACTCCATTTTCAGTGCTCGTGGGCTTCATGTAGTGCAGACTGGCGATAATTCGGAGTTTGGGCGGTTTTCAGTTTATTTGGTGAGGGTCATAGGTAATGCCTTTTGAAACCCTACTGATTATATGCCGGTGTGTCCTATATATCTTTACACGCACGCTTCAACCTTGTCACTTTAAAAATAGTACTCACACATTGTGAGTAGCATTGTTTTTATAAATATATCGTCCTTTGAAGAAGGAGAAGTGACCACTGAAACAAGTTTTACTGTCCTGACGTTTCGGATTCCGTCGGGAATCCTTAACCATGGATAGTGGTTCCCGACGGAATCAGAAACGTCCGGACAATAAAACTCTTGTTTCAGTGGTCGCGCCTTCTTCTTCTGAACTGCCTGCTGGAATTCGCATATTCACCACTATTAGCAACTCGTCCTCTGTTTGTGTGGTATTAGTTCGAGTTCAGACCGTCGAGGAAAACAAGGCTGCATGCTCCTCTGTATCCAAACACTGATGTTGTTTAGCGAGGATTCTATAAGAATTTAAGTGCTTTTCAGACAATTGGCCCTTATGAAGCCATTTATAGGGTAGTTCATTGGAGAGAACGGCACAATTTTAGATTGAAATATGGGAACCACATCTAGGACTATATTATTTTGCAGATCTCTCCGGTCATTCTGGCACTCAAAGACCTGTAGTGTAGGCAAATACTGTTACCAAAAAGACAGGGGAGCCTGGAATGGCCATTTCTGGCCTATTAGCCGCCGTCAGCTAGTCATACCCACATTCAAGTGGCGTCCCACCTGAACCTCAAAATAACGACCCTAAACGCCCTAAATATTGAGCCACGAGCTCGCTGTCTTGTGGGGTTAGGTCGAGGGATATATAAACTCACTGGCGAACGTTCATTCCACCGCTAACGGGACTCATCTGTCCCGCCCTGCCTTTAGCCCCGCCAGGGGTTCTAACTGCTGTAATAGCTGGAAGTATAGGCAGATACTATTACCGACAAAGTCAGGAGAGACTGGCATGTCCATCTCTGGCTTGTTAGATGTCGTCCCGTTAGCGGTTGGGTGAACGTTCACCAATGAGTGTCAATATCCCTCGACCTAACCCGACAGGACAGCGAGTTCGTGGCTCGATGGTTAGGGCGTTTTATTCTGATCAAAGAGGTCGCCAGTTCGAGGCTCGGCTGGAAAACCACTTGGGTCTGGGTATGACTGGCTGACGACGGCTTATAAGCCAGAAATGGCCATTTAGTCTCTCTTGTCTTTAGCAGTGAATTTTCATCAATGAGACTCAATAACTTGTCCGAACTGAGCGTCGTCGGCAAACAGTCCAGTCCAGTTCCCAAAGGCTGTCATTAACTCACAAGATAAATGCTATAGAGCGAAACCTTAAGAAACACCACCACCCGGTGCGATTAATCCTCTCTGATATAAAAGCATTGTTTCCAATTGACCAGGCATGTCTTGATCGAGTTGAGAAGTCTCCTTCTAATGCTAAGCAGGCTGAGTTTATGTAAAAGGCATTGATGAGGCAGAGTTTGAAACAGGTAGTGAAAATCGATGTACACAACACCTACTTCAAAGCCCTCTTTTAAAGCAATAATTGAAACCCCTGAAGAATTCAACACCTTGGAACGGAACGAGCGCCCTTACCGACGGCCATGCTGCAAATTCTGTAGGACGCAATTTTTATCACACAATCTTCGTATAGCCCGCTTCACATGGATATAAAGTGTTTTGCAGTGAAGTCGAGTCATATCTGTAGGCCTAAACCTGCTTTCCACCATCATGCTTTCCCTCCCATGAAAGAGAAGAATGCCGAACATTTTATACTGCTTAGAAAAGTTCCATGTTCTCATTAGCAACGCAAACAGAGACGGTAGAACTTTAAGGGTCCACGCAGGGGTCCAGTAGACCGGCATTTACCTTTGAAGTAACCTCTGCATACTAACCACCTGTGGATTCCCTTTCGTTGCTCTTTGTTTGAGTAGAAAATTTAACGAAGGCGTAATTTCTTACCAAATGAGTACAAGAAAGAATAGTTTTGTGCATGTTTCCTATAAAATCCATTCGAATTTGTAAAGGCAGTCAAAATCCATGATTAAAACGCATACAATTTATGTAGTCATGTTTTTACATAATATAGTTTTCGTAAACTGCCAGAAAGAAGCTCATTACAGAACTGGCATCCCGGCGTACGTGAAAAGACTTGAGATTAGAGTGCATTATAACCAGTATTGACACCCTGCTTAGTGTTGTTTTGTGAATGAATACCAGTCCTTCGCAAAATGCGGCATTTTTCTTGCAGCACTCACTTCACTGTAATATTGTTTTGTCCGATTGTAGCTTCAACCCCCCCTATCAACCGGCAGGAAAGAAATTTCATGAAGAAAAAACTTCTGAGAAAGCAGTATGAGCCAGTAAATGTGCCGTTTAGGTTACTTCCTACATTGGACTGGACTCCTTATTTCGCATTTATAGTTTTCATTACTCGATGATTATTATTTCTTGATTACAGGATCCTTTTTCTGCTGGCTTGCAGCTATAACAGTTGTGTATTCCTTTTTACGCTATCAGTCTATGTAAAATGTATTTCACATAACTTATATCAGAGAGCAGACTTAACGTGATACCTACAATAAGTAATGCGCATAAAATTGTTAATTAAAAATGGAAGCATGGTCTCCAAATAGTACATGAGAACGTGCACCAAATGTTGGGGGCTGTTCGTGTTAGGATGCATTTTAGGCTGAACTATAAGTTAGAGGTTAGGTTAAGGATGTGTAACTTATTGATTGGATTAGACAGAATATTCTCACATGTAATACATGCGAACTTTCACTAAATTTTACGGGTTTTTAGGATGAGGAGGAATTTTAGTGTAAAATATGACACGGGGGTTAGGGTCATGGTAAGTTTTAGGTTTAGGAGGTAAGGGGATGAGTATCGATTAAATTTGGGCCCGCAAAATATGTGATTCTGGGAAGTCTATTGCAATGCCACATGTATTACTGCGACGCTTGTATATTGCCCTGTGTCATGGTAATTGCAATAGATGTACTACCTCATGAGATGTTAAATGAACAGGCAAAAGTAGCTTATGTAGCCCAACTCATCTACCGCAGTATTTTGTCCTGCAAAAACGGTGGTTATAGAGTTTTGTGGGGTGAGGGAAAAGGATAGGCAAAGAAGAAACTTTTTAGAAGTAAATTTTAAGTGAAAAAATGTAGTCGAAGTTACTTCCGCTGGGAGCAGGTTGTTCCGCATGTAAATCGAAGGTTTGCGCGGTGCTTCGCGCCGCGGAATATACTAATCTAATTCCAGAACGGTAAGTTGGACCGCAGGTAAGTTGATCTAGACGACCTCCA